AGGAAGGAATTTTTGCTGCGACCAAATTTAACAGAATTATGGCCTTTGTTTGATTTTTCACTATATAATATGTAGAAATTTTGTGAGCGCAACTTCTCTTAAACCGGATGGCAGATTTTGCTTTAACTTCCAGGGATGAACAACTTAATGTGTAGATGGTAGTAAAGGAAGGAATTTTTGCTGCGACCAAATTTAACAGAATAATTGCCCTTTGTTGATTTTTTCACTATATACTATGTAGAAATTTTGTGAACGCAACTCCTCTTAAACCGGATGGCAGATTTTGCTTAAACTTCCAGGGATGAACAACCTTAATGTGTAGATTGTAGAAAAGGAAGGAATTTTTGCTGCGACCAAATTTCACAGAAGTATGGCCCTTTGTTGATTTTTTCACTATATACTATGTAGAAATTTTGTGAACGCAACTCCTCTTAAACCGGATGGCAGATTTTGCTTAAACTTCCAGGGATGAACAACATTAATGTGTAGATGGTAGTAGAGGAAGGAATTTTTGCTGCGACAAAATTTAACAGAATTATGACCCTTTGTTATCCCCCGCCGAAAAATTTCGGCGGAGGATATAGAAATAGTCTCCGTCCGTCCGACCTTCCGTCCGTCCGTCCTTCCGTCCGACATTTTTGTCCGGAGCATATCTCTAAAAGTATTTGAGTTATCACCTTGAAACTTCATAGGTGGATAGACCTCATTGAGGAGGAGTGCAGTGCAAAAGAATGATAACTCTACCTTGCATGATTTTTGAGTTATTGCCCTTTGTTATTTTTCAAAATTGATTTTTGTCCAGAGCATAACTCCAAAAGCCTATGAGATATTAACATGAAACTTCATAGGTGCATAGATCTCACTCAGGAGGTGTGCAGTGCACAAGAATGATAACTCTACCTTTCATAATTTTTGAGTTATTGCCCTTTGTTATTTTTCATACCTAATTTTTCACCTGAGTGGAGCTTAACTCAAAAGTGTTTGAGATATCAACATGAAATGTCATAGGTGGATAGATCTTATTGAGGAGGAATGTTGTGCGCAAGAATGATAACTCTTCCCTATAAAATTTTTGAGTTATTGCCCTTTGTTTTTTTTTCATGCTATTTTGTCCAGAGCTTATCTGAAAAAGTATTTGAGGTATCAACTTGAAACTTCATAGGTGGATGGATCTCATTGAGGAGGAGTGCAGTGCACAAGAATGATAACTCTACCCTGCATAATTTTTGAGTTATTGCCCTTTGTTATTTTTCATTCTATTTTGTCCAGACTTTATCTCAAAAAGTATTTGAGGTATCAACTTGAAACTTCATAGGTGGATGGATCTCATTGAGGAGGAGTGCAGTGCACAAGAATGATAACTATACCTTTCATAATTTTTGAGTTATTGCCCTTTGTTATTTTTCATACCTAATTTTTCACCTGAGTTGAGCATAACTCAAAAAGTGTTCGAGATATCAACATGAAATGTCATAGGTGGATAGATCTTATTGAGGAGGAATGTTGTGCGCAAGAATGATAACTCTTCCCTATACAATTTTTGAGTTATTGCCCTTTGTTTTTTTCATGCTATTTTGTCCAGAGCTTATCTGAAAAAGTATTTGAGGTATCAACTTGAAACTTCAAAGATGGATGGATCTCATTGAGGAGGAGTGCAGTGCTTAAGAATGATAACTCTACCCTGCATTTTTTTTGAGTTATTTGAGCCCTTTGGTATTTTTCAAAATTAATTTTTGTCCAGAGCATAACTCAAAAAGCCTTTGAGATATCAAAATGAAACTTCATAGGTGCATAGATCTCACTCAGGAGGTGTGCACTGCACAATGATTGATAACTCTACCTTTTATAATTGTTGTGTTATTGCCCTTTGTTCTTTTTCATACTTAATTTTTCAATTCAATTTTTTTCTCAAATAGTATTTGAGGTATCAACTTGAAACTTCATAGGTGGATAGATTTTACTGAGAAGGGATGCAGCACACAAGAATGATAGCCTACCCTGCATTATTTTTCAGTAATTGCCCTTTGTTATTTTCAGCCATCAGTATTCACATAGGTTTCAAATCTGTAATCACTATAGCCATCAGTTTTCATTACAAAAGACCTCTTAAAATGGAATTATTCCGCTCTACTACATATACATTCTTCCAATGAGCAAACACATTCGGCGGGGGATGGCCATGTTGACATGGCTCTTGTTGATTTATAGTTTTCAACTTGTGGCACATGTAGTCCAAAAAATATTTGACCTAGAGTCATAAGATTGACAGAACAGTGGCATGTGGGGGCATCCGTGTCCTATGGACACATTTCTAGTTTTCTACTAAACTATTCCAATAATATTTATAATAGCAAATAACTTAATAATAATAAAAAAAATAATATTAATAATAATAACAATGATATAAATATAATAATAACAACAATGGTAATAATTATAATAATGATAATAATAACAACAATGGTAATAACAATAATGATAATAATAACAACAATAGTAAAAACAATAATGATAATAATAACAACAATGGTAATGATAATAATGATAATAATAATAATAATAATAATAATAATAATAATAATAATTACAATAATAATAATAATTATAATGAAAATAATAATGATCAAGATGCTAATAATAATCATAGTAGGAAATAACACTAATAATAATAATAATAATAATAATAATAATAATAATAATAATAAATATAACAATGGTAATAATAATAACAACAATGGCAATAATAATAATGATAATAATAATAATAATAGTAATTATAACAATAATAATAATAATGAAAATAATAATAATCATGATGATAATAATAATCAAGTAGGAATTAACCGTAATAGTAATTATTATAACAATAACAATAATAATAATCATAATAATATCCAAAATAATCATAACAGCAAATAACCATTAACTTAATAATAATAATAACAACAACAATAATAATAATAAAAGATATAATAATAATAATAATAATAATAATGATAATAATAATAGTAATAATGATAAGTGACACGTGATAAGCAGTGACTAACTTAAATTACCATGTTTATAATTATTAATAGTAGATAATTATTAATTAACTGTTTAAAGCTGTAGAATATCACATGTCAGATTATGTGGTACCAACAGTCAGGTGTACACGTTCAAGTTCCATTGAAGTAGTGTTGTACATAGTAACTAGTAAACTGCAGAAAGTATCTGGTAGACTGCATGGCATAATTTACACTAGCAATTGATTGACATTACTGTTCCTTAAGCACATTTGTTGGACCAAATCAACAAGTAGCAGCACCAGGTTTATGGTGAATTGTGTCACAGGATCAATAAACTCAGTGAAGGGAGGGACATGTAATTGGGTGTTTAGAATAACTACTTCAGTCATCAGAATTTATAACTGAAAAATGGTTTTGTACACAATTAAGAGCGACATACAACTGGCAACCTGCAGGTCCTGAAACAAATAACTATGATATTGCACACAAAAAAAAAAATACTTTGTCAAATGCTTATTTAGAACATGCTTATTTTTTATTCATGCTAAAGGTGCATACAATTACAATTAGAATTAGATAGACGATATTTGTTTGTTTGTGTGTAAGATGAAATTTTATTTCATCGAGTAGGAACCGCCTCCGTGGTCGAGGGGTTAGAGTCGATGACTTCTAATCCAGTTACCTCTCTGGCGTCGGTTCGATCCCCGGGAGATGCTTTGGTAGTTAGCGCGGAGGAAGGTAGTCTAGTACTGGTGTAACTCTCCAGGAACGATGGTTAGGGAACTACCCGCCTTTATGACTGAAATACGGTTGGGAAAAAGGCGTAAAATGAAACAAACAAACAATCATCGAGTGGGCTTTAATACAGTATTCTCACGAGTGAGAAAAAGCCAGTATTTACCACTACGGCCTAGGTCAATCAAGCCAAGCCTGCAACATTTTCAAATTTGTCTTGATAGGCCTTTTCAGGGATTCTGTTTTCTCTTGTTCTGTTTTACCGATGCATTAAATAGAACAAAAATGATCCCCTCAAGATCGGCTTAAACGGAAAAATTGTCATTTTCAAGACTCGGTTTGATGAAGAATGTTGACTTCATAGACGGCAGTGGAATGTATAAGCTACCATTCATGCCAGCTAGCACCGGTTTAATTTGAACATGATACTGGTAAAATGTATTTACAATTATGTTTTCATAGGGCGCTTATTAATGTCTCTTTTTCTCTATTTTGTAGTAGCATAAATGTAAATTTGTTGTGTTTCAACAGAATAATGCACCGAAAACAAAAACTAGATAATCGGGAGTGAGAAAAAAGATGGACCACCAAAGCGAGATAGATAAAAGGAAGTACAGAAACTGGGTACGGGGTGGGCTGGCTTACAAATATCTGAAACAAGGCTTAGAAGGTTTTGCTGATGATGTAGTTAAAAAAGAGCACAATAGAATTCTAGCTGCTGTCATTCACACGCCTGGCAACAACTGCAATCACTGCTGTCTAAGAAATTTGCAACCGTTGCATACCTGTAAGAGAGATCACACCGGAAAGAAAACGTGTCCATATGGACTGTTGTATTGTAACTGTTTACATGGTAAGAAACAACGATGTCCTACTAACATATGTGATGGCATTATGGAAGAAATATTGAAGAGTCATGGATCCTTACCTCCTCAACCCTACTGGCGAAATACAGATATACAGAAATGGTGTACAGAACCTTGGGAGGTCGCAAAATGTTACATTAATGCTCCTGGATATTCAGACAAGACAAAGGCAGCTGATATAGACATATATGGATTACTCCATGTCTTCATTAATAATACCAGTCTTTATTCTCATTTAGCATGCTCGATGACGGGTAGTTCTAACATCTTCACCAAGGTAATTATAAAATGATTGTCATATAAAACCAATTGAAAAGATATAGGAACATTCATGTATATATTAACAAATCCTTCATTAAGATATTGATGCACGGCACGGCCCGATCGGAACATTTTATTAAGCCAGATTAATGAAACCGTTAGATATAATAATACAAGACTCAATACTCACCAGTCTTGCTCTGACATTTATTTACATTACAGGACTGGAAATATTTTGCTAGATTTTTAAACCTTCTGATATAGGTATTTACCAATTATTTTTAATTTAATGCATAGTATAATCATCTGTTATCTTTAACGTTATAAGGATCCCAATTGATCTATGTAGAATTATCCATGTTATCAATTTTATTTTATTTTTTATCTCAGAAGAACTCCTATAATGTCTTTTATGCATACGTTTTCATAGAGCTATCATTTCAAATGAAATTGCCAATTTTGTTTAATAAGAGAGTCATTCTAAAAGCTACGATTTTTTCCATTTATCAACGCCGTTTATATACGGTAGATGACAAAAACGATACATACAGTAACATACTAAAACATGTCGTTTTACGTCATATTTTACTGAAATTATGTTTTTAAACTTTTGTATTAAAATTTTGATAAATGTAATGAAAGCAAGTGTTTTTCTTTCTTCTGTTTAATGTCACATTCTTATAATTTTCTGCCTATGTATAGCAGATCAAATATATTATTATGGTTGTAACAGATAAAACAAATTCGATTTATGTTGCCGCCACTACCACCCCTACTACACCACTCAATAATTGCACAACAAACTGCCACTACTAAGGAAAGAGCTGCAGCTGCCACCACTGCAACTACCACTACTATCACACCATACCAAAAGCACCCCTCTACTACCACAACCACCACTACTACTTTCATACGAACCACTTCTGTAACTAACACTTCTACCACTACCACTTTCACTACCACCACCATCAACACCACCACCATCACCACCACCATTACCACCACCACCAACACTACTACACCACTACATCATTACCATCGCCACCACAACGCCACTACTAACACCACCACCACCACATTACCAACCCTACAACTTCCACCAAAACCAATGCCCCCACAACTTCTACCAACATTTCCGCGATCACCACCTTCACTAATACTTAAACTTTAACTGTGATCAGATACAAGATTATAACAGCTTTGCGTCAGAAGCGACAATCCAGCGACAAGCTTAATGTTATGCTTAAAATGTTAAGGGAATAGGTTTCCTTTAAAAAAAATTTAAATCATATAAAAGCTAGGTGATTTACGTTTAATAACTACATATTCTATTGTAAAAGAAAACTACGGAATATAGCTATTGTTTCTTTGTTATAGTTTTGATATATTTATCAAAGTATACTGAATACATCAACTTCAGGTCCGTGGCAGAAGAAATTCTATCTTTCATTCGCCAACAATGGAAATGGAAGACACAGAGCTAACGGAATGTGTGGACGATATAATTGCAATTCTGGAAGACACCACAGAATTAAAGATGAGAAAAGATGCCCAACAAGCGGTCACAAACCTCAATAAGGTATTATTACCCTTCCAGATTTTTACCGCCTTTTTGATTGGATATTGATCACCCGAAAGAAATTGATATTACCGAGCCAGACGGGTAATATACACATTAAATTTCCCCGTATTGCGTACCCCACGGTGTAAACAACCCATGCGCCTGCGATGCGCCGTAGGTTTGATTTACCGCGATATAACGCACTTTCTTAAAACTGTCAAATGAAATATTACCAAAATAGACGTAATGATACAATTCTTCTCAGATAGGAAACAAATATTACCTTGATGGAAAGCTTGATATTAATTCCCCAAAAAATGCTTCAACAGACTACTCCTTTTCTCTTGTTTACATCCGTTATGTTCGAAAAGAAAAAAATACGTTCATGTTTTATGAGTTCCTGTTATCGGGTATAAGGGGGTATCCCTAAAGGGAATCTTATTTACGACCACAGTTTCATTTGAAAACGTAGCAAGCGATTAAATTTTAAAAAAATCGCGTCTTAAAACTCGGCACGGGAAGGGTAAATAAAATTTTATTATTTTGTTTTGGAGTTATATTGGAAAATTACCTTGCCAAAAGATAAAATAATCACCCTCGCCTTACCGGCTCGGGTGATATAAATCTTGACAAGGTAATTTATATCCACCAAAACCCAAAATAAATATACTTTTTCTGTTTTTCCCCAAGTGTGCCCTTGTTTATGTTCGGAATTTAAAACAGAAAATTAGAGTATATATTCATTACAGTAATATTTCACTCTATGTCTGGATCTCTTAAGATTATACAAGTATTTGGGCTACTTGTATATTCTTAAGTATATGATAATATGCCTCGTTGGACCCTTTCTTTAAAAAACTTTTAGCAATCGGTGCCTATTTAAAAAAATGGTTCAGAAAATAACGGTATGTTACGTTTTGGTTTACAAAATAAAAAAACAGAAAAAATGATCTGTAATTTAGGAACATATACACTTCCCAAAACAACAGGAATATTAATTATATTCATTTGATACCGCTTATATTGAATTATATACATGTAATACAGACATTACAATTAAAATACCAACACAAAAAAATAAATATTTACAAGTTAAAAAGTAATTATATTTGATTTTATTACAGATATTATGATTTCAATACCTGAAATAAGGTTTTAGAATAAAATATTGAATTGGCAAGGGAACCTGAATCTAGGGCTTAATGATTATCCTGTTCACCGAAATAATTTTAGGTCCCCTCTATCATTCGATTTAAAAAATCTTCGTTAATTCTTGCTTATATGAATTACGATAAGGTATTTTATTTATAAGCTGAAACAGATGACTTGATAATAACAACCCAGATTGAGACGGAGGTGTGTTCGGGAAGCTTTGTCTACCAATTACACGAATGGCTGAAAACTTAAAACAATTAATCCCACGATACAATGGAGGACATCAGTATGAAACAAGCCGATGCTTCTAAAGTCACAGATGATGAAATACAAACAGCATTAAAAGATGCTTTGGACCTGTTATCAAACAAAGGTGGAATTAAAAATCTTGAATTGGCAATGATGTTGATAGATGCGATAGTTGATAAACTTGATTCAGACTATAAGCAGGTAATATTAAGACAAAAATATATTTTTTGTACTAGCGTGTATACATGGGTAATAATGTGAAATAACATGTGAGTATACAACTGTTGCATCTATCCCCCAGCTCAATCCAGGTCACAGGTTCTTTGAAAATAGTTACGGTAAATTCGTTCCGGCAAGTTAGCTGAACATGTTTTTCAATTTATTTTTTCATCTATACCAACGTCTTCATACAATACACATTCATTTATAATAAAACAACAACAAACAAAATAAAACAAAATATATATAAAAGAAAATAGGTATGGTGTAAACCCTTTTAATCAGAAGTTATTTTCATGACGTCATTTTGTTTATTGACGACTTATTTGTCTTCATATGGTATGCAGGCATTTGTTATTTGTCATGTACATATGTCGAGGTAAAAAATGCACTTGACAGCTGTACATGTTTGACAGGGAATAGTGCAAAATGAGTAAGAATTAGGAAATAGATATCAATTCTGAGTGCATTGTTGTAGAATAATGCACGCTTTGAGTTCAAATTAATTACAAAGCATTTGAACAAAAGCGTGCATTATTATACTATAATTCACGAAGAATTAATATCTATTTCCATTTTAACATGTTAAGAAAAAATACAATGACTATATATATTACTTAGTTGGACTTTATGTTTTTCTTTCATTCTAGATAGTTTTCACAACAAAATTCGACACAAAAGTTTTTTTATTTATCAGATTTTTCAAACAAAATGGCGCCCTCAATGTGAAGATACACGGGGTGATAAAAAGAACGGCAAGTGCATTGTTGTAAAATAATGCACACTTCGGACCTTCTTTGTTTATATAGAAAATATCCGATAGTGTTTGAATATATAATAATGCACGCATTCTGTTTAAAGTATACAGACAACCGTTTTAAAGGCCATCGGGTTATAACATTTATACTTCTTTGACGACAATGCACATTTGATAAATGACAAAATATAGACAGTACGGCGATAAAGGAGGATAGCGGCAATACGATAATGCGGTACTTATAATTGCAATGTTCGCCATTGCGGGGATCTTCTGTCGCCATCGTTTGGTTACGCCCCGTCGTCCATCGCACTGTTTCCGTATTTAATCTAGTGTTGTCATCGCATTTTTCGCACTGTCGTCATTCGCCTTGTGTATTGTCTCCATCCTTATCGACTATGCCTTTCCGGTACCATGCTAAAGTCCTGGTTAGGGCGGTTCTTTAACTCTGACTAATAAGCTGTTGACTTAGAACATAAAAAATATTTTACTTTTGTCCAAATACATTTTATTGCTCCCCCTTCGAAGAAGGGGATAATTTTTTGCTAATGCAGTCGGTTTTAGGTCGGCAGCCCAACTGACTATCTTAAAACTGTTATCACAAATGTGTCTTCATATTTCACATGCTGATTGCCGAATTTTATTAGAGATTTACCCCTATTTATTTTAAGGCTAACTTTGGTCAAAAAGGTCAAGGTAACGGCCCTTTAATGTTTAAGGTTTCAGCTTAATATTCTTGAAGTTATTTATCACAAATTTTCTTTTCA